GAGCCCAGTCTAATTTCTGAAACCATTTAGAAGCAAAGTGTTGCTAATCCATTACATTCTCCATCTTTTTTAAAGACTAACGTTTTCAATATATTTGGAAAAATAACATGAAACTTTTACTATTACTTTTCAATATTCTTACAGCTATTCAAAATATTTTAATACAATTGATAGATTTCTCCCTCACAGCCTGGCAATTCCTTTCATGTGATTCTGAAATGAAACCATAATTCTGTTTCTGTGATATCACAGTTTATTGCCAAAACAATATCATAAAGTTCTCACTTCATATGTATAACACTAGCACTGCACAATTAAGCAGAAAAAAAAGTATGGGAGACAGAAGGACAAGATCAGGCTATGAATGGAGAAGAGAGAGAATAACTAACAAATAAAAGTAGTACAGCATGTGTATTAGAAATATATATAAAGATATATATATAGATATAGATATGTCTTTATGTATATGTATAAAGACCTTAAGAAAAGTGCATTGCATTCAAAATCTTGTCTAAATCTATGCCAGCCACGGAGTTGGTTCAATGAAAGAGATCACCCACCAAAATCCTTGCTTCTTGTATATAAAGAAAATCAATTTCTGTTTTGGTAAAATACTTTTACTTCCCCTCACCCACCATATTTAGATCTCCAAAATGGTTTGGTAAATACTACAATGCTTTGAATATTTTTTCTTCTTCCATTGTATTTAACATAACTCAGTGGCAGACTCCTGTTACATATATCATTTTTTTAAAGAAAATTAAGAGTTTGTCTTGAGGGATATTAATGATTTTTACACTGTGCAGCAACTTAAGGCACAAATCTTAATGTCTGCATTTTTAGAGCCATTGGCCAACACAGACTTAATTGCTCTCTCTCTAACAAATGTGTGTGCTTAAATGGCTAGAAACCAAAACTGGAGGGAAGGAGACAATGGTGACCAAGCATGTACAACAATTCAATTAAGTGCAAAATAAAGTGAACCCTCTCATTTGTCAAGTGAACTGCTTAATTGTGGCTACTTGCATCACCGATCACAAATACCATTATTTTACAGTGCTTCAGAGCACTGAACACTGATTGTAGAATTTTTTAGCTTGATTAATAGCTTGGGATTGGTCAATAACTCAATACTACACAATTTTAATTACTTACATTTGAAAATTTATCTAACAGATTTCAAACAAGTTTGAAAGAAATATATAAAAGTTGTAGAAAGGTTACCGGACCTGGATGATTATGCCACATTGTTACCCCTATTTCCTTTAAAAATTATATGCATGCATATGAAATAATGTACTTCAAATAAGCACTGATAACTATTGTATATCTATAACCATTACTGGCAGACAAAAGCAATATCTTTTTCAGTTTTATTATTTCTTCACTGTATTGTTAGCTTACAAAGAAATTATTTATCAAACTGACATGGAAAATTCAGGCACTGGTAAAACAAATGTGATTTGTGAAGGCTGACTTTTAAAAAATTGTTTTTCTGATTAAACACTTTTAAGCAAAAAGAATATATTAAGATAGTCTGTATCCATGAACAATTGATTTTTTTTAATAGTGAAAGGGACCATTAACATTTATTAGCCTCTGGTTATCTATTTTTAACAGCTACCACAATAAACAATAAGACACTAAATAAAACCAATTAATCTTTTATTTTTTTAACAGTCAATATGATTAATTTCATACTGTGAGAAGTCACATCATTCTTTCTATGTAAATAGTCACAACAGTAAGCTAGTTACAAGTGAACATTAAGATGCCAAATAAAATGTTGCTAGCACCTACATTGGTTCAAGTCAGATTTATTGACTACAATAACAATTTACATTTCATATTATTAAGAATGCATTGCATTGTATAAAATACAAGTGATCAACTTAGTCAAAATTGGCTATTTTTATTTCATTTAAATATACATTTTGTTTCTGTTCACCCAATTCAGATAGGAATAGCTATATTTCTCCAAGTAGAGTGATCCTTTTTGTTTACATTTGTATAAATTATGCAGAGGTCCAATTTGATTCATCCTAAAGTGAGTAGAATAAGTAATCTAGTAACAGTTACATGATATCAAATATAAATAAAGCCCATTTTAAAAGGAAAACAGATTTAACCATGCAAACCAACTGTAGGATCTGATCATTTGTAATTTCCCATCTCCTTCCTTTTCACTTCAGGCCATCCCCAATATGCAGAACTATGTAAGCTTCTTTGTTGTTATGATACTATTTAATTATTTTTCCAAAAAAGGAGATTAAAAGTTATTTTGCTTTGTATTAACTATTTTACCATATTTTTTTCCTTAGCAGAAAAAAATCAATATCATATTATTAAAAATGAAAACAGCGCAGAAGGCTAGGAAGTAAGAGATGATTGGTTTGGGCAGTATGCTGACACCTTTGGTGCAGAGTTGTCTTTGACATAGAAATTTATTTCTCTGCCATGATTTGCTCTACACCATGAGACTGTATTAAGATGGTGTCCCCTTATTTTCAGTGTCACAAAGAGATAGGACCCATGACATTAAAACAAAAATGGACCTTACAGACTGACTTTTGAAAAAGCACCTAAGTTTAATCTGCAGCCTGACCCCACTTCAGTAAAGTACTTCCATATACGAATACCTTTAAAGATATTGTAGTCCTATTGGCCTTAATGAAGTTATTTATGAGTTTAAAGTAATCCCTATGTTTAGTTTGGTGTAGATGAATGTGGATGCTCTAAATAAATGTGTGGACCAATTTGAATTCCTGAGTTCAAAGACTTTTATGAGAGTAGGCACAGGACACAAATGAACATTTTGCACAAATAAATATATACCTGCATTCACATAAACTACTGTTTGCATGTTCTTTGGGTGACATATATACATGTGGTTGAAAACACTGTTTTAGACATCTTTGAAGACAAGGATTTTCTTTACAAATTTATCTTAGAATGTGCTTCCTATCTCTATGCCCAAAGTAATATTTCACAGCTGTATGTTGTCACATCTTTTGGGAAGGACCTCATAGTTTTTTACAAACATTAATAAAACATGACAAAGACCTGTCTGAGAGAGCTATTCAGTCCCATTTTAAAGACAGTTAAAATTAAGCCCAGAAAATGTGATGAGCACAGTGACATGCTGGCTATCATAAAAAGTCTTGTCTTCTAGTGCTCTTCATTAAGTGTTAGACCATGTGCCTTTCTAGCCTTTCATCTTCTCATTGTAACTTTAGACACATGACATCTACCAATCTCATTGTACCCAGGCAGTATAAATCCCTTCACATTATAATCCCTCAACATTAATTTATATGAATGGACTCTACGATGACAGATTATTAATATGTGGAGTTGCTCAGTTTTTTTTCCTATTAGGTAGTAGTTCAGCAATTTTCAGCTGTTCCCCAGTAGGAACTCTCATACTTTCTGCCTGGAAACTGAATCCTTTTCAGTTTACTGTGACAAGTTTGCCACCTACATTGCAGACAAAATCACCCATATCCAGCACAGCTTAGACACCACTTTTGCTGCAGAGTCAGAGTTTGGGGTTGACGAAGCTTTGTTTATATGGATCATTTAAAATTGTTATGACCCACTTTTGTGGAGGATGTGCTTGGAGGGATGAGGGCAACCAGCTGTGAACTGAACCCGTGCCAGTCCTCACTTGTAAAAGCCATCTGGGGGACACTGCTGGCAGGAGTTGTCAATACCTCCCTTTGGGAGGACAGCGTCCTGAACAAACACTATTAAATCTGTGTTTGTCCAGCCCCTCCTCAAGAAGCATCACTGGATGCTGACTCCCAATCTAGTTATTGCCCCACCTCCAACCTCCCTTTTTCTGGTAAAGATCACTGAATGAGTAGTCACCTGATAACTCTAGGCACATCTGGATGCCACTGGTCTCTTGTCAGTCTGGCTTTCATCTTGGATATGGTACAGAGACTGCACTCATGGCCTTGGTTCATGATCTTCATCTAGAGATCAACAGGGGAAACTGTGCCCTGCTGATCTTACCTGATTTCACTGTGGCCTTTGACACAAGTGACCATGAGGTGCAGAAAAAACGTTTACATGACCTGCTGGGTATTCATGGGACAGCTCTAAACTGATGCC